AAATCAAACTTGGACTTTTTGAGGATCACCAGGAACCCCGTGGTAAGTAAACACTCATTTACTTATTAAAGTAATAAATTAACATGATTCTTATTTCAAAGAGTCTAAAGACCTGTACAGAGACCCGGAGAGGGTCTTTCTTTGCTCTGCACTTAATTCGTTTTCTCAAAAACGCCTAAAGCCGGTCTCAGATTGACTCTGGTCCAGGTTCTAGCTGTGTCACTCCCTTTTTATCTCTACAAGGAGAACTTTCCTTTCAACCTCCTTCACTCTGCCATGATGTCTATACTGAGTGAAGGAGGTTGAAAGGAAAACAAGAGGTGTATGCCTGCAGACCAGATGAGCATTCTGCACTTCCCCTGGGTGATGGTACCCATTGAACCCGAGTTACACAGGACAAGAACAGGAGGTCAGTGCTAAGGTTGAAACACATGTCTGTGCTTTTCTGCCATCAGAATGAGTTCAAAACTCTCACTTATAGTTACATCATGTTGCTGAATTATTGAGATTATAAATTAACTTTTCTTTGGGAGCAGTTCTTTTTACTTCAGGTAGATGTCTGTTTCTCTCTTTATCTTTGTATCAATCTTTCAAGCAGGCACACAAAACCCCCTCCCACACACACACACACACACACACACACACACACACACACACACTCCCTCCATCTAAAGCCCCAGCGGGACCCTTGGGTGATCTGCAGACATTGTAATGGCCATTGAGAAAGGCGGGCTTTTTGCACGCACTCATGGGTTCAGTGAGTGCATCTGAAGGAGGGGCACACAGGGGGGATTGATGTGAGCATTTTAGGGTGAGTAAGGGGGGAGTGAGGGGGATTGTCTGCTCTGGAATACATCAGGCGGCGTGTTCCTCGAGTGCAGGCCATGTGGAGCGAGCATGTGTGTGGTCAGCAGCAGGAGCTGAGGAGAGGTTGCTGACTTACTGCTGCAGGGTTAACAAGGTAGACAACCATCAACTGTAAACTCCCAGCTAAAGAGGAGGGGGGGTCCTGGTGCAAAAGTACATGCCTTTGTGTGCGAGTTCATATGTCAGCCATTTTTGCTGCTCTGCAGGCTGCTCTTGTGCAATATGTAATGCACTAAGCATCATCCTTTGGAGAAGGAGTCAGTACAAAGACAAGCATGCTCTTCTGGTTTCTCCCCCATCATCACTTCTCAACCATACCCACCCTCACACACACACACCTCCTCTTCCTTCCCCCGCCCTACTAATTCCCCATCTTCTCCTCAACCACTGAAGTGTACACACATGGACGCCCCCCACCCCAGCCCATCATGAACATGCTAAACACACACAGCGCTCTCATTTCATTACTCAATCCCTCAGCTCATTACCACATGGGGATTAACTATCAGAGGACTACATGATGGAGAGCAGGTCTGGGATGGGCAGTGGCGTGAAAACCACAGCAGCGACACCATCATCATCATTAGCATGCTGCTCAGGCAGGAGAAACACAACCCTGTATGTTTGCTCCTATAGATTTCCATGTTACATCTGGCACACATTAATACTTAGCGGTGCTAATTCTAACCCAATTACTGAGTCATATGTTCATGAAATAAATGCACGGAAAAGAATCAATGGGGCGGGCAGAAACATATTAATCTTTAGCTGAATTTATAACATGTTATCTCTGATCAGTTGAGATAGCGTAATTGGATTTATTGTGCATGTGGGATTGCTTTCTCATTGGGCTGTTCATTAGAAATCCATCATTTTAAATATGAATGGGAAAATAATTGCTTATGTTGAGAATAATGAAAATAAATAATGCATAAATCATTGCATGCATAAGGAGGGAAGTAAGGTTTGTTAACTCCTCAGATGGTTGCTTGAGACGTTTCCTGTTTTGCAGATGGAGTTCCTATAGAAATAACATTAGTTTTATCATGGTATGCCATTAATGATGATATAAACAGGGTGGCATTAAGTGAAGAAAATAAAGAAAATGACCAAAATGATTGCAAAAGAGGCTGAAATACAACAGCAAAAGTATTCAATTCCAATGAGCAGAATATGAACTAGGTTTAAAAAAATAGGTTTATCTTCAACCTTGGTAATTATTCTAATTCTCACACTAGACTTAATCATTCTGAGATATTTCCAGCTTTTTATTGTTTTAATTTGTTTAAGTGTGGGTTTTTAAGTATAGTGATTGGGTGGTTACACAAAATATAATCCCACTGAGGTTAGTAGAAACAAGGGGAATTATCTCAACTATTACTAAATGTTAACTAAAGACGAATACAAAGTGACACAAAAGACTGATTGTAATTTATTTTTAAAAATGTTGGTATTATTTCAACAAGAATAGACTTACTGAACTTGAACATAAATGCCACAGCTTTTAAAACTGTGGCCATCATCAGTACCTCCTAGTTGGTTTAAGTCACTTTACAGCAAACATAATCATATGCCAAGCTCACAATGTTTTGCCTTTCTTTGTCAGTTGGGCGATGACAAAGCTGTGATTGTGTGTCAACATGACTGACAGACATGATAGACGACCAACCTTTTTTCAGTCTGTCATAGTTATCCCTCAATGATGCATCATAAAGCTCAACAAACTTTTCCTCAGAGTGCTATCTCAGTAAACCAACTCCACCATATCCCATGTTTATGTTTGCTTTTGTGTTCTGTGCTCCAGACAAAGCTGACAAATCTAGCTAACTGTTGCCTGGATTGCAGGACAGGCTCTAATATTAAAAATCCCTGTGTTGTGTAGCCTGATGATTTGGGATGTTCACAGAAAGTGCTGTTTTTCTAGTGTCAACAGGCAGAAGTAAAACGCACTGGACTCCTCTCCACAAGTCAAAGTCTAATAATTCCACTTAGAAGTATTTCTCCTCATTAACAAGCTAAAAACTACATCAGCTAACTTGTGTTTTTTTTCCTGACTGTGTGCTTTAGATAGTTTGGGGTTATCTGATTTTTGAAACTTTTTGAAATTTTTGAAGGTGTTAAGCATAGTTATGGAAATACAGATAGATAAAGAAAACATTTGAGGGCTGTTGCTTTTATCCTTAGTACAAGTATTTGTCCCACCTAAAGAGAAAATTCTGTATAAGACCTTTAAGGAGCCGTTCGACACCCTTTTTTTTTTTTTTTGCGACCAAAAGTACCCAAGCACACCACATTGAGCTGAAAGCAGAATTTAAAAAAATCTACATTAAAACAGGAGCTAAAAAGGGCAGCAAGGACCAAACTATTTGTTTCCTCACTGCCTTTCCCTCTTCTATAACCTCCAATTAAGATTTACTGCTAATTTGACTGAAAACACATTTACTACCCGTTCTCTATTTCTGAACAGGAGGAGTTTTCTTGTGTTAACCGCCCAATAAAAAGAGGTCAAATCAAGGGTCATTGCCCCTGTCGCCCTCCATGCTGTGGAGAGCGACTGCTTCCAGTCTCTACTCTGCCCTCCCCCCCTTTGAGACAGGGCATCCCAGGGTTAAACTGCACCTTTTCTTTTCCCGCTCTTTCTTGGGCTCTGCTTTTTTTTCCCCTTTCCTCTAAGCCACCCCCCCCACCCAAAAAAAAAAAAAGAAAAAAAATCTCAGGAGTAAACCCAGCTTTCTCCCCGCTGTCACTTCCTCTCCTTCCCCTCACCTCTCTCTAGGGGTCAGTCTATGACCTTGTCCCCTTCACCCCTCCCATATTGAGCCCTAAAGTGATTGTTCAGCAGCCGGTCCTTCTGTCAGTGTGCTCCTCTAAGGTTTGATTTATTTCACTAACTAACTGGCTCCAAACAAACAGGCCTCATATGGGTTAAGCACCTCACTCACACATTGTTGCAGCCAGTTGAGTGATCTGTGACCCTGACAGCAGGATCCCATTCACCTCTACAAGCCAACTGCAGCTGACCAAGGATGGCAGCAGCACTGAACACACACACGCATGAATGCACACACGCACGCAAGTGGGCACCCATTCAGTAACACTGAGAAAAAGAGTCAATGATTATCTTCTTCCACACATCTCAATATGGATACAACTTATTTCATGTCTTGAACATAATAAAACATCCAGGTGATAATAACTCTCTTCTGAAGTTTTTTTTCTCAAACAGGAATAATTGAGTGCTTTTGATGTGAAGTGTACCTTAAATTGTGAGTGTGCAGTGAAGACAGTTACCGCGGCAACACTGGAAAGGTAAATTTCTCAAAATACCAAGGGCCGAAACTCCTTAAAGTCCACTCCGAATCTTGTTTTTCTATTTAAAGTGTTCTCAGTGGTCTTTTAATTGTGATTATGAAGTTTTTAGCCAAAATCATGTTACCTGTGTCATTTTCAAGGGCTTTTCTTTTGTAGAGCTCCAGTAGCTCATTAGCAGTTCCCGTCTGAGTCGTTGGCAGAGACAGCGCTGCTCTGCACACTCCTCTTCATGCTAGCTTGCAGCCTAACATTGCCGGTGTAGAAGAAGTGGCAGGTAACAAAGGAGCTATTCAGCTCTCGGACACAAATGACTTTAGGGGCATGATGAAAGTTAGCATTACAATTAGGTTTCTTACGAACATTGCAATCCTCTAACGCACACGCTTTTTCGGCAGTTGTCTTCTCTACTTCTCAGAGTCTGGCCTGCATAGCGGGGCTCAGGGGGCGGAGCTTGGATTTGCAACATAGGAAATCTCATTGAATCTGAACCTGCCGTTTGGGTCTCCACGTGTCACCTGTAGTTTTTTCATGCAATGTCCTGTAGCATCAGAAAAATGCCATAAGAACATGTAGACAACAAGAAAAACATGATTTTTATCGGAGTAGGTCTTTAAATGTTTGGAGATGTGGAGAAATTATTGGTGAAAAGGTTCGAGCGACACACTTGAATTCACTTCTGTGTCTCCACTTGTCTGTATACTCAACATGAAACCAGTCAAAAAAAAAAAAAAAAAAAAACTGGAAGCAGGTCAAGAAATACTTCCCTTGAAACCACAACATAAGCCTGCAACACAACAGATGGAAAGTTACTCATGAAGATAAGGCTGTGGGTTGACCTTTGAGAATGTAACTTCCCCTAATGATATTAGCTTCTCTGTCATGTGCAAACTGTAGCTGGTCTTGTCAAGTAAAGATTTTTACCATAGACTGTATATACTATCGACAACTTGATTCTGCCTCCCGTCAGTATACGGATTTAAAGCCAAAAAGCTCTCGGTATTTCCGTGATTTTTCTTCATTTCCTGAAATCAGCATTTTACAGTAGCATTGTACACAATCGGCGGGAGAGTCACTGAGAGTCGCTGTGATGACGCCCTGCTCAAACAGCGTATCCCCCGGGTAAGCTACGCAATCTTTGTACGTCCATAGACTGTATCAAGTGTCAATCATAGAAAACATGAACCTCTTAATAACTTTTAAAAACGGAGCTGCACAGAAAAGGGGGAATTGAGCACAAACCAGTCTCACAGTAACTACATGTCGAGGCAGATGCTGTCCATTCTATATACAGTCTATGGTTTTTACACCTCTGTTTGAAATAAACTTCTGGGAGTTAGTTTGCTTTTGAAGCATATTTTTAAACCATTAACTTCATGAAAACTCTACATACACACTCACACATAAGCATATGTGTGAGTGTGTACATCCTTGGCACACTAACAAAAATGCAAAGGTCACACACAGACCGGATGGAAGAGGAACAAACAAAAACACAGGTCTATATATGGACACATAATGAAACATGCTGTACATGAACACACACACACACACACAGACATGTGTACAGGGTTCATGATGCTATAGACACTCCCACACAGACTTCCTGGGTGGCAGACGGAGGGTTCATTGAGGGCAAAGCTCTGGACAGTTAACTGCACACTGGAGGATTTTCAAATCCTACCTGATTTAAGAACGTGGGAAACCACATATATTAAAGGTTATCCAGTATTTTCAATATTTTGATCAGAAGAGGTCACACACCAGAAGAACCAGCCAAGATCAAGGACCACACACTTGGAATCCATACTAAACAGGACCAACAGAGGGGGGATGCCAGGGACTCTGGACTTAAGAGCAACTAGTCTGATCAAACTGGACTGATTTAGGGGGCAAAAGCACGCCCAGAACACCATGCTCAACAGCCAACCAGAACACCAAAGTAAGAAGGACAAACTGGAGATGGGCTGAAAAGTTGAGTCTTAACTTCACAGTGTTTAAGTGTCAGTCAGTAAAGAATACAAGAGTCCTGATTATCAGTTTGACTTACTTACATTGAGAAGAACTAAAAAACTATCCACTGTGTGTGCCCTTTTGGATGTGTACAAACCCTTATTGACTCTAGATTCTGACTCATCGTATTGTTTTCGACGATGTGAGTGTGTAAAACGAAAGAAAACAGGCAGCCACAATTCGAGCAACGGCAAGGTGATCAGATGCAGAGAGAGACAGCCAGTGAGGAGTGAGGAGAACCTAAAAATGAGGACTATACAAGGCTAGGAGGTAGCTCATCATATAATGAGGACCCCACACAGGCAAAGACCTGCAACAGGAAGAAGACCCAGCAAAGAAGAAAACCTGGTTCTGTTAAGGGGTTGTCATTATTAACACACAAAGCTACTTGTGTACACCAATTTATTTGGTACAGATTACAGTATTTTTTCATGTTACAATAAATGCCACAATAATTGTTCCTTTTTTATATCGTTCTGCATAAATTTTGCTCAAATAAGGAGTGACAGCAGCAGACCCACACCTGGCCAGTTACTCCCTGGTGTTGCTCTGTTATGAAATGCTGTCCAGGGTTGCAGAGGGTTGGTCAGCAGTTACAGACAGGCTGGGACTTATAAAACAGCAGCTCAGAGGAGCTGTAAAAGACCCATTTAGCTGTCAAATAATCACTGCTTTATAGAGTGTAGTGCAAGTGCGTCTGATGCTGTCTTTCACTGGCCATATGATGACTATTGTTTTTTTTCTATAATGGATAGCTAACTAAAGTATATAATCCATAACTTCATGGAACAGTTACTGAAAAATCCATAATGAATCAATAAGGTTCATAAATCCTTTGCTGCACTCATGTTTGAGTTGAAAAACTGTGAATAAGACGTCATTAATCCCATAAAACAGGAGTATAACAGTGTAGTCAGCGTGCCTTTCTCTATAGTGATGTAGTTTAATTATATTGTATCACATTTACCCATAATTCCTGTTTAATCCCATGTTCTCATTACCACCTACCTGACGTGACTGACAGGGTAACCCCCCAAAACCCAGCGGTCAACTTCAGCAACACGTGTTCCCCCTCCTCTGAAGAGGCCCCCCCCCCAACCCTAACCATGACCTCACATACCGCCTCCTCACCCCTCCCCAGCACCACCATCAGAGCCTCTCATTGAGAATCAGTCGCTGTGAAAGAAGATTGGAGACAGAAATGGCGGGAAACCTAAAGAGAGAGGGGGGGGGGTTGGCGATGGCAGCGATGGGGAGAGAAGAAATAGATGGGGGAGTGACACTGACAGATGGAGAGAGGCCAATGTGAAGGAGACATTGAGACTGAAAGATATAAAAAAAGAGAGAGAAAAGAAGGAAAGAGCTGAGAAGGAGCAGAAGAAAGAGAGGAGGAGATATGAAGAAAGAGACTGGAGAGAGACCACACTCAAAGACAGCAGGTGGACTTCAAACCAGCCAAAAGCCATGTGGCAGATATACACTGCTGGAAGATGGGTGTACATGAACTCATTTCACCCCAGTACAGAGTAAATTAACAGCTTACTTGCCAGAGCTTCTTTAAAACACTAGTGATTGTAGAAAGATCCAAAGTTTGTTGTGTGTTCTGTCTTAAAATGGACAGAAAATGTTCAAATCTGTGTTCTCTCATGTCACACAGAAACACAATTTACACATCAGGGCAAGGTGTGCACAGAAATACAGGACATACAGGCCATACTGTGATTAAGTTAAAGGAGAGTTCACAATCACATAGTGTGGTAAAAAAAAAAACGGTAACAGGATCAGGATTTTCCCACACTAAGGAGGAAAATGTAGACAGTAGCTGCGTTAACATGGGCACAAATAATCAGAATAAAGGCCCGATCGGTATAAAAAAGCGTCATGTAAAAAAGTTGATCAGAAAAGTCTGATCCAATTCGGCTCAATCACAAAGAAATTGTATTCCAAATGAGGGGTAGTTTATGCCGATTGTTATCCCGAAACGCCTCCATGTAAACACTTTTGATCATGACTCTCTTACCTGACTCAATCTTCACTCTGTAGCCTTTGGCTTATTTATTGAGGCCAGTACAGGAGGTTTCATTATTAACACTCTGTATAAAACACAACTGCAAGTGCCGTGCCTACTCCTGTATTCAATGCTTTTTTCTTTCTGTATTTCATCACACACCCTGATATAAAACATGTGCAATGCCTCCACATGCTGTTAATAACAAGAGCTGAACAAAGAACAGTTAATAGAGTTTATTGATGTAGTGCAATAAGTCGGCTCAAGGAGGCTCTTCTTTCAGCTTTACTTCTTACAATGGAAGTACATAAAGGTGCATTGTCCATATTAATATACAGTACAGTCGATAGTCTGAGCTAGTTAAAGACCGATTAGGAGATGCAACTTAGTCACTCTTGGAAAAAATGAAGAGGGTGCAAAGATTTGGCCAAAGGTGACTAATACTGGCATCTTCCCCCTCGCTGTAAACTGCAGACTGATAACAGCAAATACAGTCTACCATTCAAAGTTCCAACTCTATACAATATGTATCACAGAGGAAAAGGGTCTCAATAGAATTGACTCTTCAAAATATATGAAATGAGGCAAATACATCAATGGAGATTTGGCACACGGCACATCCGTCAAATGGCTGCGAACAAAATGGACCCTTAATCCCTACATCTCCAGGAAGAGAGGTGCTTTAGATCCAATGCCAGCCATCAGCAACAGAAGAGGGTCTCAGCCTGTGATCCAGTGATTGATGAGGACCCTAATGGGGCCCTGTGGAAACCAAAAGCCAGGGAGGAAATGCCTCCCATCTCACGACCACTCATTAGCAACAAGTGTAGGACAAAATGGTCGTTAAACACCACAGAGACCATATCCTGGTGTGTCAGTGTGTATGTGCCAGCTCTCGTCCATGCAAGTGCTTGTGTTTTCATCCAGCATGCGCCCATGTGTGCGTGCATGTGCTGCAGAAGTGTGCACATGCTTCATGAGTCTGTGTGTGCGTGCAGGGCCTGAGGATATGAAACTGGCTCACACAAACCTGCTAATGGGACTACATTCAATAAGGGACACTTACACCACTCAGCCAGACCATAATGCAAACACAGATCCATCCTCTTGGTGTTTCTATTCCAAGATGGCCTGCTTTCTTGGAAAGCTAAATGGAGCATTAGCAGATGGTTGGTGTATTTTAGTGGAGTTAGAGGGAAGCAGTTATTTATTTGCCATGTAACTAGATAGCAGGGAGAGGAGAGGATTGAGCTGATTGGATGATTTTTATGTATACATGATCCCTATTACCTCTTACCCAAAATGAACTGCTGCAGCGGGAAAGTCTAAATCTGCAGAGTGATGCACTTGAGTCAAATCATGTTGAAACAGAAATTCATGACTGTTGCATCTCAGTCTGCATCTTCTTTTTAAGTCCTCATCACAAAGTACAAAAGGAAGGAGAGCATGTAAAAGAAGCCAAGCCTTCAAATTGCCAGAACGTGAATCACGATGGGCTTTCAAGTAATGGATAGTCGCCTTTGAAGTCAAAAAAGAAAGAAGTGTTGGGTGAAAAAAGGGGAGAAAAAAAGCTCCCTGCCCTCACTTTCCCTCCTTTTCCCAGTCTCTTTGTGTCTCTGTGAACTTGCTTTCCTTGGATGAGACACAAAGGCTCCTGAGGAGAAAGGCCCCGAATCGCTGCGACCGCCACACACAGATCCTTTCACTGGAGCCGGCCGTTGGAGCCACAGACCCACTGCCCACTCTCCCCCTGATGTGTGTGTGTGTGTGTGTGTGTGTGTGTGTGTGTGTGTGTGTGTGTGTGTGTGTGTGTGTGTGTGGACACCCTGACCTCATGTAATCAATGGCTTCTATTCTCACATTAAACCAAAAGGAATGTGACCACCAAACGAAGCAAAATCCCATTGATCTGAAGGACACCCGGTGATTCCAGGAAATCCACACCCCACACATAAAACAGACACCATTACATCCAAATGAACGAAGAGGCCTGCCACCATTAATTGGCTTCCAATCAGAAAAACCAGTATAACTCACTCACTCAATTTTGGTTTAGACTGCAACAAAGTGAACGTCATGTGTTTTTAAATCGAATCCTATCATGTGAGCAGCCTTCAGAGATATTTAATCTCAACAAGAAAGATGAGAAATCTAAATTTAAGCATGTCACTTGATGTTCCTGACGCAAACAGCAGGTTAAAAAATGGATAAAGATAGAGAGAGCTCTATTTAAGAATTAAAACTTCAACTTGCATGTTAAGGTTGCAAATGAAGAAAGATCTGCAAAAATCTCCTTTTTTTGTATTTTCAAAACTAACAGGAAAATTTTCTAAAGATTACAGTGGATTATAGACATTATCAAGGCTGTATCTGCAATGACCAACATGCTTCCAGAGCAGTAAGAGGCGTAAACGTCAGACAATCAGATGCTCCGAGCAGCAGGTTATGATTCTGTCAGAGCTCCCAAGAAGAGTTTTTTTTTTTTTTTCACATGAATATAATTCATTCATATTTATTTATTTATGCCTGTTTTTGGACACCAAAACCAAAAAAATCATCAGGAACATAACAGGTGATTCTCACATTGTCATTTTGAATGGCTGAAAGATGGAAGGTGTCAGCCATAGAACTGAACTGAAGATACAGCCCTGTATTTAGAGTTTCCACTTAAAACGGTCATGATAACTGGTACATTTGACTGTCATACATATGCATGTGAAAGACAAGACATGCAACATCTGTTTTGTTCATAGGAATCCTCACAGAAGGTTTAACTTTCCCCTTAAAAAGAGACTTGAAAACAGTGAAACCATCAATTTAAGCAAATTAGAGCATAGAGAATTTCCTCTTCACACTGTCACTAGTGTTTGGGTTCAAATTTCTTTATCCTATCTACTACTCGGAGTGGTACTACTATTCTTCTGCTCCTACCTTAACTATCCCACAAATTTATAGGGTTACTATAGAGTCCCTATAAAGTTTAAACTCCAGCTGTAAACCATTTGGACTATAACTGGGCTGAGTTTGTTAAAACCTTAGTAAGAAACAACAACTGTACCTTATCTGGATGACCTAATATCCCCTCAGGAGTTTTTACAGGCAGCTAACTTTGAACTTGATTTAATGCTGTACCTGCGTCTTACTTTCCAGGTCATTGCATTCCAGCAAATGGAAAGAGATTTCTCAAATGTCTATGAGTAGCACATTAAGTTGAAATGCAATCACTGGCTTAACTGTACCAAACCACCTGTGGCGAATGCAGCACCAATCTTAGTACAGTGCAGGGGAACTGAGGCTCATGCAACCCCACAGCCAAAAAGTATATTTAACCTTCTAAAACTGTCATCAGTGGGAAAATTGAAACTTTTGATCTGAATAAAGTAAATGCTTACGTTAGCATATGGAGCCTGTCTTTACCTGACCAATACTTCCTAACATAGATCAAGGTGGCATCAGCGCTGCAGTGGGTTTTAGGTTTAGGTTTTCCTCTGTCATTCAACCAGGAGAGCATTTTTTTACAGTCTGATTCATGACAAAAAAAACATTCAAAAGAATTTGATTTTCATGTGCCGACTTTCAAATTACTGTCTAAAAGCTGCTCCTCTGATGCAGTTTGTGTGAAAACATGGGATGCGCCCGAAGCATAATAACTGTTATAATACAAGAACGTTGCACTCAGCATTGAGAGGTTTTGTTTTTAATGTTAAATATAACCAGTAAACATTACGGGGTATACTTTGTTTGCTAGCTGTGTGCTAATAACAGAACACACTAATAATAAACCCAGTTCCAGTTAGCAGCTGCAGTAGGGAAATTAAAACCAGGAACATAAATGTAACAGGCACACTTAGCATGTTAATGTTATGTTAGCCCAACCAAGATAGAGAGTTATTTTCTGTTTGCAGATTTACCATCAAAACATCTTCTTCAGATGCTGTAGCCCAGAGTAAAAAAATGAGGGGGAGACAGTCAAGCTTTAAAAATGATTTTCAAAATCAAGCATCTTTTTATATCTGAGTTCTTTAACGGATTTAAAAAGCAAAATAAGGATTTAGTCTTAGGCTTGCAAGCTGGGACCATTTCTAAGTTTATGAATTGCATCAATGAGTATGTGTGTATCCCTCACAGAGTTCTTCATGAATACAGTCTGATTATTTGTTTGCTGGGATGAATTCTCAGAGGGCCAGGGTCAAACCAGATAAAGAGAGGCCTGTTATGAATGAGTTTCTACAGAGTCTTGGTCGCACTTAGAAAAAGCTGAATTCTTGTGAAAACTTCCTAGTTCACTTCCTTGGCTGTGACCCTCACTCGTTCAATCCCGTCCACAATGACCCAGCATGGGAATGTCGGAGGAGGAGGCGGGATGAGGCTGCCAGCAGCATTCCACGGCTCAGAGTCCGGCAGATCCCAGAAACAAAAGCATTACAAAGACGAGGGAGGTGACAACAGAGGACAGGAGGGAGAAGGGGAGATTATGGCTGATAGACGCAGACATAGGTATAGAAAAAGGTTGTACAAAAAGTGAAAGTGAAGAAGAAGAATTATGTCTGAAAGATGGAGTGATAGGGGCTGGTGGGTGGCTTGTAAACTGGACCCCACTCCTCTTCCCATGGTCTCTACAGACGTCGATCCACAGCGGCCCCTGTTCTCACACAGTCCTGCCCTCAAACATCCGTCACATCCCATTACTGCAGACACAGGACTCCCAAAGAGAACTGGAAGGGCATGATGAAATTGGGGTCAAAGTGAATTTGAAGACACGTGATG